AGTGTAACCCATCTGCCAACATGTTCAAAAGTATAGTCTGACTTAGAGCTTGCTAGTCTTTGGGTGCCCAATTTGTGAGCCCTAGGGGACACTATAGAAAGTGGTTCTACATCTGCAAAAATCTCTCTAGAATGTGCTCTGCTTACTTTTAAAGTGGAGGTGGAAATGCTTCTCCTTTTGACAGTACAAAAGCCACACTTTGAAGAGTTTACAGGCTAACTTGGGAAAAATATACTTTCTGGGACAGCAGCTGAAAGACACTGTTAAGGTGAATGCAAGAAGACTCCAGGGGATTTGGGGAAAAGCAGGGCTTTCTAAATGAGAGGCCTGAAGCACAGAGTGACATAAAAAATGCATGAGGCTGAGAAACATAAGAGACAAAGTAGGAAAGAAGAAGCAGGAGGATATAGAACCATGAAAAAGGTAAAGGGTGAAACGAGAAAAATGAAATAAGCCAGGACAGAGGTCAGCTGAACCGTGAAGCTGAGCTTGAATAGGAAGCAGAACGGAGCGAAGGTGCAGGAATGACATGAGAGATCCAAGCAACCTCACCTTGTCAGTAAGCAACAGGAGGCGGTGGGATGGCAACACTGCAAAAAACAGGACTGCAACTTCTGGCAGTGGCAATACACAGGAAATGCTGAATTTTAGATATGCAGCTCTTGAAGGTCCCTGATTTAATGAGGGGCTGATGACCTGACAATAAGGAGCAGAGTGGTTTCTTATACAGCAAGTGGGAAGTTATTCAGAGAAAGGGTTTCGGTGTAAAAAAGGGAAGTGAAGTTTTGGACATGCTGTGTGCGACAATGGGAGATAGGTAAAAATAAAGATGGCTGAGCAGGAAAGAGGAGATGTGGTAAGTGAGGAAGTAGATCTACATGAGGTAGGTGAATACCTCAGACCTACTTAATATCTTGCAGGGAGAGCATGGGACTCCTTTCTTCTGCCAAGTGCCAAACGCGAGGCTGTGTAAGAAGAACGAAAAATACCCTGAAAGAAACACAAGCACAAAGTTAGGAGAACCAGGTCAGTCTTCAGGAGATAAAATGGGGAGGAAGAAATACACAGAGGATTAAGAGGACTGAGAAACGGCAGTTAGAGCTGGCTGGAAGGAAATTAGTGACAGATTTCCTGCTTGTCCCTAAGGAAAAAATAAACCCAGTGTGGAATGTAACCCGTTAAACAAGCGTGATGGTGTGTCACAACTGTGAAAGGGGTTTCTGTGGACTAAAGTGGACAAATTTGTTAGTACGGATGAGTGGTGGTTTGAGGGAATTCATAAAGGATCTATTTGTCCTGACAAACTATTAAAACAAACGAACAAAAAAAAAAAATCTGTAGCAAGGAAATTAATAATTAAAGAATCCTTGCAATAGACCAATTCAGCGCTCTCTGGAGATGGCCATCTTATTGCAATTTACACTCTCTCTTAACCAACGTCATTAGTAGTGGTTCTAGAAAGCACAAAGGAATGAGGCACTGAAATACTGCAGGAACACTGTCAACACTGATCAAAGGCCCTCGTCGTAGCTTTTGTTCAAGTAGGGCAAGCAGCTCGTTGGTGCACAGCATAAGAGCATTCATTCTGGTGGAAAAGGCAAAATAACGTCATTCCTTCCTGAAAACTGTGATTTTTAAAATAGCATCTTTGAAGTCAGACAAAGTTTCAGTTTTGCTAAAAGTGAATCAGAAGAGGAGGAAAATGATCCTGACAACTCGTTTAATCCCTTCTACTGTCTGTGGTGATTTAATACCGAAGACTGTGATCTATTAACTTGCAGGCCCACTCATGAGCTGAAAATTTGTTTCTTATTGCAAACATTTAGCTGAAGTCATTGGAAATTTTATCTGGTTGTAATTGATTTAATGAGACACAGAATGGTTGTTTGTTTCATTAATCTTGTACCAAGTGATTCTAAAAAAGAAAATATTGGCAGATTGCTACAACTGCTTAGAGTAACTACGGTTTATCAGTGTTAAAACATCAGCCTTTCCCATTTTCTGTGACTTGCTAAATGTTGTCACAAAAAAACTTACACAAAATTAACAAGCTATTCATTTGCAAGGAACAGCTGCTCCTTAAATGCTCCCTAAAATTGCTTTACTTTTCTTCCTCTTCTCTTTCTAAATAGCCCTCACCTATTCTTAGCCTTCCCTTTCTGTTTCCTCCTACTCTTTCTTTTCACGTAATGGAGAAGGACCAGCAATGTAAGAATCTTCCATAATCTCTCATCCTCCACCTAAAGTATCTTATCTGATCTAGGTCAAGTCCATACCACTTATTAGCTGAAGCACTTCACAGCCACCCTAACAGCTAACCCTGAACCTTCTGCAGCTCAGACAAGACAGACTTTATCGTTTCTGACTCATCTGTCTCACATATACCTTCTTTCAACACCGCAGCTCTCCATAAAGCTCCATGCCTTGACACAGCCTTTAGGTGCTGTTTTGCAATACTTGAATAAATCTTGCTGCCTCCTCATCTTGCTACCCCTGTTGGCAAGGTCATGACTCCTGAGAAATACGTTGAGGATGTCCTTGCTCCATCAAACAGGGCAAAGCGGGTCAACACAGCAGGAGCCGAAGGTGGTACCCACAAGGTGGGTAGGGCTGCTTCAGCTAACACATTTCTATTCACTCCTTTGGGATCCTGAACTGGCTTCCATCAGTTTCACGCCTCCTCTTCAGTAAGCACTGTTTTTGGGTGATTGATAGAAATGCTCTCACCATGCGACTGTGTCATCATATGGTCCTGGAATGGCTGCCAGGTGTCTAAAATTTCCATATTTGGAGTGGGTAGCTGCCCTTCACCCATGGGACACAAAATCCTGTTGAAAAGAAGTGCACCAGCAAGCTTTGGAGCTAGCCAACCTCCAGCTCATACTAAGTGGTGGAAAACCACTTTGGGATAAGGCAACCATCAGTGGAGCTCTTTATTCAGGTAAGTCATATATTAGCAATATATGTGCGTGTGAATCAGCAACATACCTGAATGACAAGGTGGGCAGGGCTCACCATAGGAATTCCCTAAGCGCAGTGAAACAGCAGACAGCATACAGGGAGAAGACAAAAATAATGCAGACCACCCATTGTACAGCATGTACAACTATAATCCCTTGTGATTTACAGTTGATAATGCTACAGGTTTTATCGATCACTGGAGAGAATGTACGGACGCTGTAGCTGGCCACAGACCTGGGCCTCCCTCCGAAAGGCACCGCTCGGTTCAACTACAAAGCAAAAGACAGGGTGCATATATTAGATCCTGGTGAAAGAGTAAGTGAACCGTCTGGAGAGAACACATGGACCTTTTACCTTTTCAAAGCAGGAGAGGTAGCAAATGGTATTTTTAGGTATTATATTTAGGCCATAAGGACGATTAAGGGATTGGAGCACCCCTCATAGGAGGAGAGGCTGAAAGAACTGCGACTGCTCAGCCTGAAGAAGAGAAGGCTCAGGAGTGATCTGATCAATGTGCATAAACACTTGATGGGGGGGGGGCATGTAAAGAGGACAGGGCCGGATTTCTCAGTGGTGCCCAGTGACAGGATGAGAGGCAATGGGCACAAAATGAAGCACAGCAAACTGTCTGAACATAAGAGAACACTTTTTTACTGTGAGGGTGGTTGAACACTGGCCCAAGCTGCCCAGTTTGTGGAGTCTCCATCCCTGGAGATACTCAAAACCTGGCTGAACATGACCCTGAGCAACCTGATTGAGCAGGGGGCTGGTCTGGACAATCTCCAGAGATGCCTTCCAGCCTCAGCTGTTCTGTGATTGTGTGCGCTCACTTCAACAACAGGTAGCTCTGGAAAAGATCAGTAGACCACAGGGAACGAGTATCAAGTGATGGTAAGCACGATAAAGAGTAGCTGTTAGCACAGTCAGGAGAATCCTGTTGAGCATAATTAAGGTGTAGGGAGAAGATAGTAAAGCTTTCCAGATTTAAACTGGATTCTTGGCTAAGAGACTGGTTATTCTGTAAAATGAAGTTAAGATTAAGGCTCATTAGAGTAGATGACTGGGTGAGTAGCTTTTAGAGAGATCTAGAGCTGGGGGAGGATAGCTATTTAATTGGGAGAGGGCTAGAACCTAAAATGAGGAAAATGAGGTAGTAAGGTTAGATCTCAGAAGTACTAGATAAATGGTGTCTATCTTGTCAGGAGGCTCTTTAAATATGATCTGATTTAGTAACTAAGATAACTGAAGGGTATGTGATCCTTACCATCCTAGGCCTAGGAAGCTGAAAGGGGAAGGGAGGAGACGTGTAGAGTACTTGTAAGGCTGCGGCTGCTTGGGGCCTGGTGTGTTTTATAGCAGTAACTTGTGAAGCTGACTACTTTGTTACTGCATTAACAGAACATTGAATTTTATTTTTGTCAACTTTGAGTCTTTTTAACTTGTGAACAGATAGCCCATTTAACATGTAACCCAGCAGAGCTCTCAACCTTGGAGATGGATGCTTGTTTGTACTGTAGTGTTCCCTTCTTGTCTCAAAATGCCACAATCTGAAATTCTGGTATGCTTCTAAATGTTGCACCATATATAGGTGATAACTTGTATTCTGTATTTGATAGTAGGTTTCCATGTAAGATACCAAACTCAGCAAAAGGTTTCTCAAACTCTGTGGTGTACCGGATAAGCTCCATTGCTCAGAATATAAATCTGAGCTATCCATATGGACAGAAAAACTAAAATGAGAACATATGTTGGAGACAGGTATGCTGTAATGAGACCATATTTTATTGAATTCCACATTTCCACTCAGGATATAGAAACCACAGGCAGAATGTTTCCTGCTAGTGCAGTAACCACAGATAAAACTCAAATCAGTAAATACCATAGAGTCTGATCCATTATGCTTTACTTTATTTCAGTGCTAGTGCAATTCCATATAAACTAACATACACACATAAACAAAAGCCAGAGTATTTTCAGTGGTGAGTCAGACACCATATCTCTAGTATATGTAGGATTTAGGAGCGTGCTTATTGTCATTATTCCATCTCCCGCCACAGTTGCAGGATCAGAACTTCAAAGCAGAGCCTGCCAGAGGAAATTGTAGGAAATGTTTGCATTCCAGCACAATTCCATCATCCAGGGGCCTGTAATGGTGAAAGCACCCTTCGGCAGACGTTGTTTGTAAGGTCAGGTTCAGTATTCATACACGACTGTCACTCATTTCAGGTTTTGCTTTTTAATTGTAGGTTATAACTCTCTTCAACCCTGTTCTGCATAGCTGATTCCATGCATACAGGGGCAGATTAGGCAACTCTTGAGTGCCTCTCACTCATGACAACTCATGCCAGCTGGGAACTTCTTTTAGCATATAGTCTCTCTCCCCAGCCATCATCAGTTTTCCAAACATCAGGGAAAACATGCTTGCAATATCCCAACGAGGCAAGTAAAGCACTGACTAAAGCACAGAGCAACCAATTCTACTTTCCGCTAAGGCTTCCTTATTCTATTTTGGCAGGATATATTTACGCTTCTCCAGTTAATGTCTCTTCACACTTTTGAAAACATCATTAAGAAAGACTTAAGTCTCCTTAGTTGAATCTACACTAAGTGACCAAATTACACAATTGTCCTTTGTGATCCTCTAAGAATTGAATCCAGGTGTCCCGAGAGTAAGAGGCTCTTCTGCTCCTACTGGCTATAAAAATAAATTGTATTGATTTTTTTAGTTTTTTACTTAACTCCTAAGTTTTCTTCTACATAATTTTGAATAATAACATTTGCATATTTTCCCATACAGTCAATTCAAATTATATACCTCAACACTATGGTTGTAACATTTGAAACTGAAGTTCAATTTGCACTTTCAGAAGGCATTTACTTTTTCATATTCTACGCGTTTTAATCCAGAAGAAACTACATTATAATTCATACCTAATACCCTACTACACCATCTATGTAATGCGTGTGGGTTTTGCTCTCATAAATACTGTTTGGTTTACTCATTTTTCCCTTTTATTTATATTTATAAAATACAAGTTCAAGCTCCTAAATACTATACTGTGATCCCTAAATGCATTTGATTTATTAGTCCTGTCAGAATACTTTCTAAAAGCGTGGTACTGTGACCAAGGGAAACAGGATTTCAAACCAGTTAAATAAACCGGAATTCTGCCTTCCACTTTAGTGGAAATATAACTTTGCTCCGGTTTCTTGGCATCCTTTTGGTACTGTAGTGATGCTACCAACTATTCCCGTTTTATGCTTATTAATTTGATTTTTGGGTGTGACTACAGCCATTTACTAACCCTGCAATGAATTCTGCCTTACATGCAAAGAGTTATTAGGTATTACTTCAAAGCTATACAAAGCCTTGGAAATGACTGACCATGAGCAAGCTTCCCTTATTCCTTTCGCTCACCTCTCAACCTGACTTGAGTAGGGGAAAGATAGATGAGTCCTATTAAGCTCATGTCTCCCCTTTCAATACAATGACAACTTATATTTGTCATAAGTGGTATCAAAAAAGGTGCAGTTTGTGGAGCCCATATAACGTTCATATAACGAGTTCATATAACGATACATTAACAAGATTTTACAGAGCACTGTCACTTCAGCTGCCACATGCTGTTCTTCTCCTAAAAAATGTGATCAAGTTGAAGTGCATGTAAAACATCTGTGTAGATGCAATATGATAGCGACCACTTCTGCCAAGGTGAATTCAACCCCTACAGACTCTGGTGACAGGCGGTTATTAATGGTGACTACATTCAACATGTGATAGCTGTGCTTAAAGGGGAAGAGGGTAGAAGGAAAGGTCTGCTGCCACAGGTGAAAGCACGAGTCTTGCTTTGGCCTGAGACAGAAGGAATGAAAACAGGAGTTGCTGTCTCGAGGCAAAATACCTTCAGTGTCTTACCCCTCTCTGGACGATCCAGCCCAGAACTGAGCAGGATCCGAAAGTCAGAAACCCCCGCATCTCCCAGACATCAACTGATGTGTTTCTCTTCCCCATGGGGACAATCTACAGATGTTTTTTTCTGCCCTGAATTCTGTTCCTCTGTAGTAGCTCTTATTAAAATCCTGATGAAGCTGTCTCCTTTGTAAGATTTAAATGTGTGGTATGATAATACTCAAATAAGCCCCCAAACAATTAAATGGCATACTTCAGCCCATCCTCCTCACATCAGTGCCTTCGAAAAGGTCAGGTTTCTGTTGTTTGCAGCCCTTTTACATATTAGCACATAAAATCTTTGCCTTTATTCTTCTGGATTCGTAGGAAGGACAACAGATGATGAACATTTTCAAAGGCCCTGACTGAAATGTGACACCATCTCTCCCTCTGAGAAGAGCTTCAAACTCTAAATAAATGATTTGGAACAGGTATCTATGGCAGGAAATGACCAGACAAGTAGGAAGGGAAGACAGGAGACGATAGCCTTTATGTAGAGGAAGGAAGTCTTACCGTATAAAGAGGGATTGCTTGAATTATGTTAAACGCAAATTTAAGTAATTTTTTTCTCTATTACAGTTGCCACCCTTGAGCTGATCAGGTTCTTTTTCATAACGGCAAGTCTCAGATGTGGGTATTTGACCGTGTAGTTAGCGTGGGTACAAATGAATGAGCTGCAATAATGTAAATTGAATTATCCCTGTGAGGGAACAGAAGCTGACACCTCTAAAGGGATGGAAGCAAACTTTTCTTTCTTTACAGACTCTTACACGAACTCAAAAGATAAAGAAAAGCATTGATTTGTGTGTCAAACACACAACGTACAACTGCTGTGAACATAAGCTTTCCATTCAACATTCCAGCCGCCAGCTCGAGACTAAAGTGACCTGGTTCTGATCAGACTACAAAATTGCTATTAACCTAAGCGTAAAAGCTGTCAAGCACTACTGAATTATCTCTGTTTTCTATTGCCTTATTCTAAACTTCATACCAATAACAGGCCAGAATTTTACAAACCGCCCCCCTGTTGTCAAAGGGGGCAGCCCTGATTTCTTTTCAACTTTTAACTCAAGCTTGGATGGGCTTGGGTTTGTTTTCTGAGAGGTGGTGGTTTGGGGGGTTTAGTTTTTACTTGGCGCTGTTCTGCAGTCTGACTCACCACGTGGCAGCACCAGCAATTTCACCCGTTCAAAAGAGAGGCTGCGGCAAGGGCCAGCACGAAGAGCAGCAAGCAAGGGGAGGGCACAGCTGCTGCTCCTGGCAGCGGTGGTGGCTCGGGGGGATCGTTCCGCGATGACCTTTTACGCCAGATATGGAGCTCGCTGCAGCACCGGCTGAAGTCCGATTCATTATGGAGCACGGCCTGTCCATTACTTGGCACCTCTTAGCCGGCAGGCAGTCACGCTTACAGAAATAAAGCGGGACGAAAACACGCTGCCGAGCAGAAACAGAAGTAGCCTGTTTGCCACATCAGTGTGCGCACCCACGTGCTTTCATGCATGCGCGCACACGCGTTTTTTTAGGTACTAGCACTCCTGCCCCATCATCCCCTTGCCCCCCACCCAAATAAAACGACATTAACCTTTATCGGGGGTGAAGCAAAGCACGTGACTTACGCCCATCAACACCTGGAAAGGCTTTAGGACAGAGTCGGTGAGCAGGGGGGCGAGGCCTGTGGAAAACGAAGCGGCCCTTCTCAGGTAGGGTTGGGAAAACTTGGCAGCGAGGCGCCCAACGCGGGCGTCCACCTTCGGCGGCGGCGGCGGGCGCCCCGGCCCAACCGG